TATTCTTTTGCCGAAATAGGATTTGGAAAGTAATTTTGCAAACAACTACAAATATTTCAGAAAAGATCAATGTTTTTACATCTATTTCCTAAAATATGTCTGTATAATTGCAAATTACAATTTTAGTGCAAGATTTTGTCACATAATTTTGTAAATGGTTTCTTATCAGGTTAATAGCTTTGAATTGTACAAAAAATTCTCTAACATTACAATCAAAGACACGCATATAGTTCAGAAGTGATATACTGAGACTCATAGCTTAAGATTGTATACATATGTCCCAACTGCCCCCGAAACAAATTGTTATAATATTTGTATACTTGTTCTACGGTGTGTATTGAAAAAAATTTGAAGCGCAATATACATGATTGTTACTGGATTGTAACTTCTATGTATCTTGAAACGCGTCAATTTCGCTGGCGCGTATTATCGCCTGTATACTTTTTATCGCGTTTAACTTGTATTACTTGTTGAGAGATATAATCTTTTGAATTGTTTAACTTTATCGTATATTGATTAACGAACTGGACGCGTATCTGCTTTTAACTCTTAATTAGCTAATTAGTGTAATTGTTACAGCTCTGTACTTGGTCAATATTCGCGTATTTTGAACCTTTTATTAACAAAAAGACAAATTAATATATAATTGTTTTGAACAATTATATATAACAATCTCTGAAATAAATAAAAAATTACAAATTAATAATAACAAGAAGAAGATTCTTTGGGCTCAGGAGTCTTTAAACTAATAAATGAAATAAATTCGGTTATAAGAGCCGTTTTGCAGGATGTTGTGCAGAGAATGTGCTTATAAATATATATTTTTAAATAAATATATATATTTATTATTAATCATATATATATTTATTATTATTAATATATATATATTTATTTAAAAATATATATTTAAGCACATTCTCTGCACAACATCCTGCAAAACGGCTCTTACAACCGAATTTATTTCATTCATTAGTTTAAAAAATTACAAATTTACAATTAATATTATTGAATTTCAGAGAATTTTGCTCTTTCGTAAATCGAGAAATAATTAATTTAATATTTCAATAGGTCTGTCATATAAAACTTAACTGTTAATTTACTGAATAATTTATACATGTATAGAAACTATAAATAAGAGCTTGCATACTAAAATATCTTTAATATTCCGCTGTAATTTTCAATAGTTGCAACTTTATACTAAAACATGTTTGCAACTATTGGCATAGTTAATTTATCTTTAACAGTGTAAATACTATTTAATAAATTAAATTTTTGATGCGGTTCATATACCGGAGTTAGCCTAATTAAATTTGTGCACAGTAACATTGACACTGTAAATGCACACATATTTGAGCAAAAGCAAAAGATCCAATGACATTGGATCGTTAATGTCGTTACTGTGCAAAAATCTAACTTTACTCCATGTGAGCTTACACGGTTCTCGCTTGTGGGCATACTCCTACCGCCTTGATTGAACTTATCTAGTGGAGGGCATCGAGTGGAGCGGACGGATGATTCCGTTTGCCTCTCGCGTCTGATAGCTTGTGGGTAATGTGCATTCTTTTCAGCTCTCAATAGTACTCAGTTGTGACAGCTTATAGCTTATAGGTTTATGACTAGTTGATCTATTGAATTTCGTTTTGATATTTAATAATTAACAAAATACGATAAAAAATGCCTTTGCTTCCAAAACAGTTGTAATACAAGGGAAAATTTGTTAATCAAATAACCTATTAGACGACATATTATTCGACGTATTGTTAAGTTACATGAACTTGGAAAAAATCTAAACAACACTTTTTAAAAAGTGTTTTCTTGAAAAAATTATAAGTGAAAAACGTTTAGGACTCAATTCAATATTATACATGGCTTGTGAAATATTATTACAAAAGTAGCAACTGGCAAGATACATGCTACAAAGAAGAATTGTGCGTTGCCAGATTTTCACTTCACTACGCTTTCACTGCACAACTTTAAAAACCTAAAACTATTGAATAAAACGGTAAAAAATATATGTGTGTTTTGTTTCCTAATATTCGTAAAATGTCTTTCTATAATATAATTGTTTTTTGTAAAAATTTATAAAGCCGTTTAGAAATTAAAAACAAAAAATAGGCTATTTGTATGTATTTGGTATAGGGAACGTATGTTAATAACGCCTACTTTGATTGTGTGAATATCTCGCCTTACAATCGGTCAATTTCTTTGTAATTGTGAAATTAAATATATCTCATCATTTTTAACATTCTGTTAAAATTTTATCAAATTACATAGAAAAGTGAGTTTGCATGGGAACTACCTTAAACGCTTATATCTGCAAAACTACTGGAGATTTTTTCAATTTGTTTTTCTGATCGACGCAGAATCGTTCAATCCTTTGATTCAAAAAGAAAAAAAAGTGAAAAAATATTGATTTTTTGCGGAAATATTTGAACTTAAAGTCGCGTGGATCTCACAGATTCAGTCTGGACAACTCGTAGATCATTTTTTATGTCTAGCACTGAAAGGTTAAATCACTCGACGAGTAGTAAATAGACAGTCGACAAATATTTATCATGACTTAAACGCAACGTGATGACAGCGTAATGTGCAAGAACATCATCAGTTAATTAAATGCCGGCGCACAACGTCGGCGATTGGATGAGCGCTAAATTAAAAATCCAGGCAAATGATAGATCGCAGTTTCAAAGTTTTATATATTTTACAAAATTGCGCAAACATGACATCGTAAATTGATTTGCTTCTTAACTCTTTTTATATTTGCGGTTTGTTTTCTTTTCATCAAAGTCACGTATAGCATTTGATTTTCAACTGTAGTAGATAACTGCAGAAGATATAAAAATTACACGCGACGTAGATAAACTTTATGTCTATTGTTACATTACTTGTATACGTATATATCTTGTATTATCCTTTCCGTTTTATATCGCTCGTAGAGCACTAAAAAAATTACTGCTTCGGTGAAAAACCGTCGTATGGTAAGTTCATTATCTTTATGCAGCGTAAGGTTGTTTTTTTATGTCATCGATCAAATATGCGTCAACAAAATACAGAAAAAATAATGATCGATTGCAGGTTCGTAGCTACAAAAAAACAATAGAATCGATTATCGCGATACGTTATATCAATTCGCATCCTGTTACGCCTTCCATTTGCAACAAGGTGGCATCTATCAGAAGTGACTCACTGCTCTCGAATTTTAACATGCCAGGCACATCGCTGATGTATGCTACCGAAAAAACATTCTATGAGAGACACTCTGTCGCTTAACAACTTTAATAGTCGTGCCGTGATTGAAACAAAAAAGATCGTGGAGAACGGACACGCGTTAATGTTCCCACTTGAATGGAGAAATGTACGCCGTTAATAAAATACAAAGCTTTTAGCGAGCTGAGAGATAAATTCGAAATGCTGACGAAGGATGGAGTTGAAAAGTTATGATAAGAAAGATGATTGGTTTGAGAAAAGGTTAATCGATTTTTCCGTTTGATTCTCGGTTGCAGGTAAACCTACGGTTCTACCGTCGAGTCAGACGGTGACGGCGAATGAGGGTGAGTCCCTGGACATCGTCGTCGAGTTCTGCACCGTGCCGAAATACACCAAAGTTCTCTGGATGTCGGAGGAGCGTGTGTACACACCGGATACGCCACCCCGTGACGGGGTTCGAGCCCTCGCAATCGAGGTAAATTTGCACATCTTGCACTGCATCAAATCTTGCTTGCGTGCGCCCGCGCACCTTCCGTAGAATTTGTGTCTCTCGCCACAGACATGAAATTCGGATTAAGCGAACACGTTCGATCGGGTAATAGGTGAGCAGATTGTGATGCATGATCTCTAGCGGTTACTACGAGATACGTAAAGTTGCTCGTCCGAGAAAACGTCATTGTTTTATTTATATTTCTACGGCAAATAACTGCGACCGCAAAAAAATGCGAATGTTTTTATATGTGTAATTCTTCATTACTACATAATTACAATGTAGCGACATAAATTCAATTCCCTCTCCTTGTTTATTTTGTACAGGCAGTGTTCACAGTTTTGGTTTCCTTACAGCATGCTAAAGCGATGGAAGGGATGCGCGCAACAGCAGCGAGTTTATGCAATTAAAACTCGCTACTGTTGTGCGCATCCCCTCCACTACTTTAGCATGCTGTAAGGAAGCCAAAACTGTAAACACTGTGTTAATGCCTTTAAATATGAAGTTGTGTGCTTTTCATTGTCAAGATATTATTGAGGCATTATACATATTGGCACAATTTTATGTGTAAAGGCATTAACGTTCTTGTTTGTACAGAACAAAACATTTTTACTTTTACGTATTTGTGAGCGAACTAATTTATTGTACTTTTTCCATCACGTGTTTATCGGTCGCATTTCCACTTTACAAAAGAGAAGTAATTACAAATAGCAAATAGAAATTACGAAAGCTGTTCTCTGCGGGAAACAAATATTCTGTGCAGTGGTATTGCGCGAAAACAAATATATTGGTCGTGTACATATAACCACAGTTTGCAAATATTTGACAGTTCCTACATTATATGTATAGTGATATTTATGGGATAATGCATATTTACTCAAAGTCGAAAGAGAAACGAGAAAAGTACGATCACAGATTCTATATACTTACATACGTCACTTTATATTTACCGTTTTTACTCGATTCTGAAAATATTCACTAAAAACAATCAAATAAAAAAGAAACAAAAATTTTTGCAACAGATCTATCTATCTGAACTCTTAATTTTGAATTCTCTTCCGGGCGATCTTTTTCTGTAACTCTCGCACGCCGTAAAAACACAATTCGTCTGCCTTGCGTGAAAATCCGCTGTCTTTTGTACGACGATAAGATATCAGCTCTCGATTACACGTTTCTCTCTTCCTCGGAGGCGTGCTTGGTACTTCAACGCGAAAATTATGCAGCCATTTTGGCGCGAACGTTCGCGCGATATCTAAGATATTGCAACTTGGCGAAAGAACAAAAAAAGGAAAACAACAAGACCTGGAAAACAGTCATCTTGCGATACGAAACTGAACGGGTGATTAAAGAGATACTGACGAGATAAAAGAAAAAGGGACACCAATTGGATACTACAGAAATGTATGCAGGCCAGTTTGCACACGTGCGTATGCACCCGCGCACGCGTTTGTGCGTGTGCATGTGTGTGTGCGTGTGCGTGTGCGTGCGCGCGCGCACGTGTATACAGAATGTTTGGTAATTGCCGTACACACACAATCGCTCATAGGCAAGTAGAAGGAATATTATATTATTGACGTGAGTCGAAGAGTCCTATATCATTTTGCGAGATTCGCAATAATTACCGACATCTTAATTAACAGATCCATGAATAAACATGCATCGGGTTGTCTTACGTGTAAGATGTCAGTAATTATTGTCGCAATTATCTCGCAAAATGGTAGGACTTTTTGACTAAATATTACTTCTTCTATCTGCCTACAAGTGATTATACAGCAATTACGAACACTCTGTATACGCGCTTCTTTTTCGTAAAATCTACGCGCGGAGCTGCAGAAAGAATGGACTAACTATTTTTCCAAGAGTGCCAGCAGGATTGAATCGGGCGCGAACAATGTGACGGAGCTTTGCGAGGGATTTGCCGATGCACTCGATGTTATGTTTGTTTTTATTAATGTTTGATCCTTTTCGCGAGCTGTTCGATTTCGCGATACGAGTGACAATCGGCTTCTTGCTCTTGATTTCTTTTGAAAATTTTAACGTGACGCGCACCAGTACGTTGTGCATCTTATTATAAAGTTCACCTTTCTTTTTCCGCTACATATAATAACATTATATACTAATATATATTTTGCAGATTACAACGTGTTTGTACTTTTAAGCAATTAAAAAACGCCTATATAATAAATATAAAACAAACATTGATATAACGATATGTAAAAAAAATATAAAATTGTATTAATTACATAATCATAAAAATAATTAATAAAAAGTTAAAAACTTGTTTGAAATTAAAACAATTAAAAATACCTACAAATCGATTATTCACAGGCGGTAATGTCAAACTTAATAATTTAACTCACAAAGTATTAGGAGTATAAATAAGTTTCCGCCGTTTTTTATCAAAAATTGGGCATTTATTGTGAAAGAACGGTACATAATGTTTTATTCGAAGTATTGTCCATCGCTAGCCACTACCTTTTCCCATCTTTCTGGTAGCATACAGATACCTCGTCGAAA